CCCATAAGCTCAGTGGACAATTGTCTCTGCCAGTCGTCCATTTTGCTGGGGCTTGTGGCCTGGGCAAGCTGTGGGGGCAACAAAAAAAGGGCTTCGCATCCTGTGCTGGCGATAAAAAATAAGGACCGCTAGCCAGGCGAGCAAACATAAAAATGCGTTCGTTCTGAAAAGGCGTGCGGCGTGGGCGTGGATGTGGGCGGTGGGCGGTGGGCGTGGACGGACAGGCACCTAAAACAGAAAGTAATCAACCCACACACACATAGACAGACAGCGAACGACGGGCAGCGAAGCGTACTTTCCCCCCCTAACCAGAGTCCATCTCAGCTCCAGAAGCCAGCCCTTCGCTCCACTCTGCTTCACTCCACTCATTTGCACAACACACACACACACCCACAACTTGGCAGCCGGAGTAACTTTTCTTTACACTCGGCAAAAATCTCAGGCATATTCTACACAAATTAAGTACAAGTATTGTCATAAATTGAACAGAAATCAGAGCAGGAGGTTCTGTAAAGTCAAGATATTCTTTAATCTAAGAATTTTTAAACGCAAATCGAATAAAATCTTTACTAAATGTTGGAAATATTTTGTATAAAACGCGATTTTGTTTATTCCTGAATTACAAAATCCAAAAACTACGCTTAACAACTTGTCGTTTTTTATCGAGAAGGTTTCACTTCTTGAAATAGGTTTTTCAATACTGAATTTAAGTAATTTTTAAGTTTGAATTTTAATTTAATTTAAGAATATCAAGGAATAAAGTCTAGCCGCACTTTTATAGAACTAAATTAAAGTTGAGCGCCTTATTTCTTTAAGTGTATTTTGTGTTTTTTTCTCATCATTTCTGTTTTCTACGTTTTCATATTGGAGCATTGAGAGCAGAGCAGGAGCTGAAGTAGGGGGAGTGGCTGAAGACCTAACCGGGAACTGAGAATGGGGGCTGGCTGCGGGACTCGGGGTTTGTTCCGGGCATTGTTCTTGTGCCGCCATGAAAATTAATGAAGAAGTGCCCGACCCATGTTCCAAACGGTCCTAAAACTCCGCTCGGTCCCAGAACCTGACTGACATGCCCAGTCCCCAGACGTGGCTAGGAGGGGTATGTGTGGTAGGGTGGGGTACGAGGGGAGGGCGGTGGCACCCAGAGCTCCATTCGTCGCTTTGTTTTTGCGCCTTTAACTTCTAAGGGTGCGTATCGTATTCTTCTCCTCCTGCCCTTGTCTGAAGCAAGCCAAGAAATTATTATTATTTTTTATTTTTTTTGGAAGCGCCCGACATTAATGTGGACAAATTAATTATTCTAAACATTTTCATAAAGCTACTTATCAGAGGACATTATGCGTGCAGTTTAGATTTGAAATCAATTTTGATCTTTGGGTGTGCAAATTTTTGAAAATACAAATTTTAAATAGTTTTTCCCAAACATTTTCTAGATTGATTTCCAAATGTTTTTTAATATATTCCAGATTAAGATTCGCAATCATTTATTAACAAAACAAAGTGTGAATGATCGTTTGCAGCTTTGAGAAAATTCTTCTCTCACACATGGAAATATATTTCTTAGCTTTTTGTTAAAACAGAAAAAGACGTATTCGATCACATAAAGTTTATACCCACATACATGTTTTCTGAGCAATAAAATTCAATTTAAATTCAATTTTTTAATAATTTAAATGATTGAAATAAGCGGAAAACCTTTTCAATGGAAGAACAACAGCCTTGCAAGCCCAGTTTTTGAGCTTTATATTCTTAAAAATTGTTTAATTTCTTGAATTAGTTTTTTATACGGGAATTTCCAAATTTTTGCAACGATTGGACTTGATTTGTGTAGAAAATTACAAAACATAGCTATTATTATATACCTATATTTTAAGTTTTAAGGTTTATAAATTTTGGTTTTTTATTTTAAATATTGTTCATTTGGCGCTTCGCTTAAGATCTGTAGCTTGGCTTTCTTTTCTTTTTCTTTTTGTTTTTTCCTATGGAGTATCTAGCTAATTAGATCTTTGCTGGTTAATACATATTGCTTATTGGATAGACTGTAATTTCCACTCATGGGCTATACTCAAAGTAAAAAAAAAAGGATGAAAAAATAGAAATAAAGGGGTGCTGCCCATTTTGGTCGGGCCACAGACAATGTCTACGAACGAGACAGATAAAATGGCAAACGGCAAGAGTAGAAAAAAAGAAAAACACAAAAAGCAAAAAACAAAAGGCGAATGTTTAAAACGAGAAGCGATTTGAGCAAACAAACGGCGCATTGGGTAAGCCAAGCCCGGCGGGTAGTCGACCGACTCACAAAAAGGACACACACGGTCAAGTGGGTGTGAGTGTGTGTCTCTGTATGTGTGTGTACAGGTGTGTGTACAGGTGTGTGTTGAGAGCTGTCCACGTTTAGAGGTGCTTGCCGTTCCGTTTGGCGTTGCCAGCTCTTCTCTTTTTTTCGGCTGGCATACTCGTGCAGCGTACGCTAGGTGGCGCCAGACGTGACGCGACGCCAACAGTCGTGGAGTGTGAGGGGCTGAGCGAGGGGGGTGCGGCGGCGGTGTTTGGGACACTGATGACGACGCCTTTGCTTTTAGCTTGATTGCCAAGCCTAGTTAACTGTAAAGTTTTATAACTTTGCCCAGCTCAGCCAGCGCCCCGCAGCCAAGCACCCTGCACCCTACACCCTGCACCCAGTGTACCCTGTACCCAGTGTACCCTCCGCCTCTTCACCGCCCTTGCGGGCGTTAAAATCGCTTGGTTTATTACACGCGCCAACGCAGCCCTTGGTAGAACTCGCCGCCCCCAGATTGTCCCGTCCTTAACAGCTACGACGTCACTCGACCCTTTTAAAAAGTCGTCAATACTTGGCATGTACCCCCTCTTACAACCCTGGCCCCCTCCCCCGCGCGTTGACCCACCTCCCCCCACCAGCTATATGTCGTGAGCGATTCGTGTGTTCAGTGGCTCAGCCGTGCAACGGCCTCTGAACTTTGCCAGCAACGAGGACAGGCGAAGGACGAGGCACGACGCACAGACCGACGCCCAGGCGTCTATCAAATTCCAATTTCGATCCCTTTTTTATACCCTGTACTCACTTCAAATGGGCAATAAGAGGGTATGTGGATGCTGTGCATATTTATGTAACTAGCTGAAGACGGCATCCCCAAACATTTAAAATACCCATTTTCCGATTAGATCTAGTCGCAAATGTCTGAGACTTAGATCAAGTTTATTTCAAGATATCATTTGATCGATAATTATCGACAGCTCCTAGTTAAATTTGGTATATGGGAATTCATATGACATATATAGAACAAGAATACTTCACTTTTTATAGCCAATATCTAAAACAAATTAATTTCACATGGCATGAACAGGAGAGAAATAGAAGGACAGCCAGCTTAAGGGGAATACAAATGTGCGTACAGGGCATCATCTAGTCGGATACTCTAGTATAAGAGTAGTCTGAATCGTTATTTTTTCTGCCTCTACCGGCATTCAAAGTTTATGGCGTCTTTTTAGCGTAAATCCTGCATGGGTAACCGGTAACCCGTGCATCTAACCTCATGCCCAACCCTCCCGCCGTACAATGTGCACCCTTTTTGGCTCGTCCGCCCGACAGTGTGACCGCCACTGGACCGTGGCTATGTCTGCCCGAGACAGAGACAGCATCTTCAATATCCTTTTTAGTACGGTTCGTGGACCTGGACTGTGTTGCTGGCTCTGCCATCTAACCCCCACACACACATACAAAGTCGAAACTTTAATACATGTTGTTTTTTTTTTATTCCAATTCTTTGTCGCTCATCATATTATTCAAGTTGCTGTTGTTTTTGTATACGAGAGCGCGTTATATTTTTTATTTCATTGTTTGATTTGTATACCCTAACGGAGAGCAGATTATAAAGAGCTCGCAGAGGACGCTGAGATTCTTTTGTTAAATATATATAAAACTTTTTGTCCTGCCTGACTGACTGACTGATTGGGGATGGGTCGCAAGAGCTGGAAAACTAATATGCAAGTTAAGACGGGGTTTCGGGAAATTCCACCTGCATGTGTGGAAAAATCACGAAAAGCGTTTGTATGCAACTTTATTGTTTACCATTTGATCGGCCTCAAACTCAATTTCAAAGTTCTTTGTTCGAATTCATTTGAGCGGTATTTCGCACTTTTCGAAAAATGAATTCCTCCTTGGTGGAAATGGGGTTCAAATATTTGGTGGGTGACTTTGCATTTTCAAATTTATTTCCAAATATCTATACTTTCGTATCTTATGAGATGTGTTTCACTCTTTTCGCAGAATCCAAGCTTCGTCGGTGATAAATACGATTCAAAGATTTTTCGGGCAAAACTCTACATAGGAACTTAATAAATATCTGTTTTAGCGATTTGGGAAATTTCATCCGCAAAAGTGGTAAATTGGCGGAAAAGGTTGTTTTATTGGTTTCAAACTGACTTTCAAAGATCTTTGAGAGAATTTATTTTATACGTGCTATAGGCAATTATTTAAAACATGCATATCCTAGAACAACTATCGCTTTAATACCTTCCATTGAGATACTTTTGAAAGATATGCAAGCCTCTCGCCTAACTGATAAACAATTTTTGATTAGGAGAATTATTTATCGCCTGGAAGATACATTTGCGATAGCACCAATGCTTTAATGTTTATAGAGCTAGCTCTTTTGCTATAATTAAAATTGCGATTAGTTTTTTTTATTAGTATCTATGTTCCAAATTAATTAACTGATATTAAAAGTTCTGTAGAGTATGTAGGTTTCGTAATATGTTAAATACAGTACCATGATATTTATTTATATTTATATTTTTGCATTTGCCAACGCATTTGTTAGCTGTTGGCTTTATTCTGATGCTGGGCAGGTCAATCAACGAGTTTCTATTTGCGTCAGCAATTCTTTTTTTGTATATGTATTTTAAATATTTACCATCTACATAGTATATGTATTAATATGTATGTATGCCCAGGCAATAGTTTTTGCACAGTTCAGCTAACAATTTGAATGTGTCAACAGCATGTGAGGTCGAGGGAATAACACAATGGAGGCTTTTACCAGGTCTGCAAATCAAAAAATACGCGTATCACGTATTACGGAGCTGTTCAATGTATAAGGAAAGAATAAATATATTCGGAATGTTCTCTAGGTTACAAGTATAGAAAACATTAAGTACTCGGCTGTAGTCGTGCCATTGAATAGGTTTTTCCTAGAAATGCATGTCTTTGAATTATCAAAAATTTCAAATTTATACGGAACATATAAAGAAATATGTGTAGTATAATATATTTCAAACAACTATTATGTGTATATGGGGAATTGTGTTGGGTAATTTCATATATGTGCCAATCAGTCGTGAGTGGAAATGAGGCATTAGACATGAGCTGCGATAACCTTTAGCCAAGTCTACACTCATCCCAAATATGCACATACATGGACTGTAAATACTTATAGTATATTAATAATAATTCCAGATCTAGAAGCTATTTAGTGGCCACCCGCTCGTTCGCTGATCTCAGTTTAGTTTGGACATTTGAATTGAACGGAATGAAACGCGCGAATCTTTTGCTGAGCTGCATCGGCTTTTGCCTATTGGCCCTGGAGGTAGGTCAGGTTGTACTTAGTAGACTCCAATGACGTCATCTTATTATTATCGCAGCCGAGCAGCGCGACGAGCAGCGGCAGCAGCGATAGCGGACCCAGCGTCGCACTCACCCGACAAGCCATTGAGCTGGGCCTAGAGCCATCGGCATTGGGGGAACTGTGGCGCACCAAACAGCCGCTGATTATCAGCAAGCCGGACGCACTGGGTCAGCTGTATACAACGACCTACGAGCTCACGCCGGACGGCCAACATATAACCAGCACCTCCGTCAAGGAGGATCAGCCACAGCAGCCGACAAGCACAAGTACCAGCACGGTCAGTCCGCCGGCTGCAGTGCAGCCAACGAATCCGCAGACAGACTGGGAATATGTGCCCTCTAATCCGGGATATCGGCGCAACTTTGTGGTGGGCAACAGCTCGCCATTTGGCGCTAATTGGCCTAATTTTGGTGGCACCTTTCCGCAATTTCACAGCAGCAGCGGCAACAATTGGCCCAGCTTTGACTTTCCGGCGGGTATAACACCACAAACGACCACCAAAACGGAAAAGGACGACCAGGGACGCACAGTAACCACGACGATCAAGACCTATAAGGGACCTGGCAGCAATAGCTGGTCACCGGGCACAGATCTGTCAGCGAATTGGCCAAGCTTTGAGCTGCCTACGGGTGCGACACCACAGACGAGCACCAAAACGGAGATCGATGACCAGGGACGAACGGTGACAACCCTGACGAGAAGCTATAAGAGTCCAATTTTTACGACATGGTCAACGGGCAACGAGGATGTTGGTGGTTTGCCCGCCAGCTGGCAGCCAGCTGCCAGTCCGTGGTTCCACAATCCGCACTTCGTTAATGGAGTAACAGTTGGTGACGTGCCCAGTTTGACGCCCAGTGCGGCAAATCCCGTGCCCACTCCTCTGCCTCTGCCCACGCGACCAACTTTCATTCCCAGTCAGCCACCGCTGCCGACAGCACCGCCTGGAGTTGGGGTTTTTGAGCTGCGCACCACCACGCCGCTGCCTGCATTAGAAGATTTCCTCAAGCAGACGGGCAGCGGCGAGTCGACGCCCAAGACTGTGGCAACCATCAACATTGACGAGCTGCCCGTGAGTACGAGAACACGGATAACCAACTATAGCGGCACCTTTAATGGCTCCGCACCACCAAAGGCGGCTGACCTCGAGCCGCAGGTTAGGGATATGCTCAATCGCGGTGGCATCACCGATGAGGATATACAGAATGCCCAGGCGCTGGGCAACGATGTGACGCGTACTCGTGTCCTGCCCGACGGACGGATTGTGAAGACGACGATGCGAGTGAACAATTGGGCAGCACCGTCGGCACCGACGCCACAAGCCGCTGCTGCACGTCCGCTGGAGCGGGATAATTCAATAGACAACTTCCTGGCGCAGGTGAATCTAACGCCAGCGGATATACAGGCCCAAAACGGGGAGGTGATCAAGACAATTGTCGACCAAAATGGACGCGTTCTCAGCGCCAGGTTTGTGCTGAGCTCTGTCAAGGGCGAAGAGCAGCCGGGTCAGGGTCAGGCGGAGCATCCAACCAAATAAAATGCGTAATGCGGAAAAGGGAAACAAAGTTAATTCAATTGATAAACTGTTTGTATGTACGTACATCTATCTAGACATCTATGTGTACATCTGTCGCTCATAAGTACAAATGGAAAAATTGTGAAAAATGTATAAATAAATATGTACTCATAAACTTGTATCAATAAATGCTTATCAGTGCGGGTTACGCCCAACAGATTTAATTGTAGAGCTAGTCAGAAATGTCTATATACACAATGAAGAATGATGTGATGATTGGGAGATACCCTGTAGTCAGTGTTTCGCAAATATATAACTTAATATATCATAGAGCATGTCAGAAATGTCTATAAAAACAATTAAGAATGACGTGGCATAGATTGCTTGACTAGGAGATACCCTGTAGCCAGGTCTCATATACATATGTTGACAGTGTTTCGCAAAGGTAAAAACATAATATCGTAGAGCAAGTCAGAATTGCCTATGAAAACAATGAGGTATGACGTGGTATAGATTGCTTGACTAGGAGCTACCCTGTAGCCAGGTCTCATATATGTAGACAGTGTTTCGCAAAGGTAAAAACATAATATCGTAGAGCAAGTCAGAATTGCCTATGAAAACAATGAAGAATGACTTGGTATAGATTGCTTGACTTAAAGATACCCTGTAGCAAGGTCTCATATATACCAGTCACATGTCAAACACAGTTTCGGAAAGGTAAAAAAACAATATATCGTAGAGCAATTCAGAAATGTCTATAAAAACAATGAGCTATGACGTGGTATAGATTGCTTGACTAGGAGATACTCTCTATATTGGTCTAATATATTCTAATGCATATGTTTCGGAGAGGTAAAACTCGATATTAATTGATCTTTCCTTTGCAATTGTCCTCTAAATAATTTTAAACGAAATTCGTGAGAATTTATTGGATACGAGGTTTGGGTCCCCAAATGCTTAAGATGCGTTTATTAATGCGGACAGACTTGAACGCGGCTGGTGATACCTTTTAAATTTCTTACAATCTTATCAACAAATAGAAAACGTTCAGTAATATTTGGGAATATATAAAATAGATAACGTCTTTAACAGACGAAACTTTAATTATTAAAACAGTATATTCTAGCCGTTTTAATAATATAAAGATAATCAAAAAAAGCTTAAGGTATAATTTGACTTTAAAATCAATTTCAAATAAATTTTATAAGCCCACACATTTTTAAGTTAAATATATCAATAAGTAAAAGGGGGTTCAGAAGTTTTTGGAACAAGCAAAAATCAATTTAAATATATGTGTATAAATATTATTAGAAAATATATAGACTAAATGTATACTTACCGCAGCTGAAATACCTGTGGCTAAAAGTATGCAACTACAAAGCAGTCTAAATAAACTAAGCGCTTGAAATATTAATGTTAATAAGCATTTTAATTTATTACACATCTCTTTTGTCTTTTGCTTTGCATTTAAGAGCGCCGAAAATGCCAAAAAGAGATGTTTTATGCGAAAAAAAAATCATTAAATTTTGCGTTTAACTAATTTATTACAATTCTTTTTTTTTAATAACTGAGCTGGAAAATATTAAACAAAAAGAAAAGAAAATATAAAAGGAAATTAAATCAAATAAAATGCAATTCAACAAAAATAACAATAAAATACTAAATAAAAAATAAACATTATAAAACAAAAGTATTGCATTAAACATGTTTACAGCGTTATTAAAGCGAAAACATAAATTTCAGCAAATAATTCAAGCATAAAGAGATCAAATATCAATAAAAAATAAATAAAAATAAATTAATTGAAATTCAATTTGAATTCCAAAAAAAGCGGTTAAATAAATATAAAAAACTATTGCGTAATTTTGTGCGTCGCGCAAAGCGAACGCATTTGTGTTGGCCGAAATTGTTGTTGTTGTAGTCGTGTTTTTTTTTTTTCTTGTGAAGCATATTTCTGTCTCGCTCTCATTATCTCATTTACATTGCGATAGATGCGTTAGAGTCATAAGCCAAAAGCATGTCAGAGAAAAAAGAAACTAAATTAGTTAAAAATTTGTTGTTGATCAAATAAGAATAGCACAAAAACGGCTTAGATAATAAATTTTGTAAATATGAGGTATAATAATATAATATACGTATGTATTAAAAATTGTATATATATAAGCGTAAAAAATATCTTCGAAACTGCCGAAGTTTTAATACCCTTGCAGTAGACGTAAAAATAAAATTACCCACTCACTTGTTTCTCTCTCTTTCGCGCTCTATCCGGCGGCAAGCACAGATCGAGTGAATCGAATTGAGTGACATTTTTTTCTTTGTTGATTTTTATGACAATGCTTAACACCAAAAACTGCAGAGCACAACTTTTCAGCAACTATTATTACATGTACATGGTGGAATTCGAAAATAAAATCGATATACAGATTATTAATGTACACACGGCACACGTTATGTTAAATTTACTTAACAACGTAAAAGTTTTCATATACACACGCGGACTAGTTAACCGATGTTAAGAGCAAACGCGCACAAACTAAATCATCTCATTACGCTGACGCCTACGCTAAGCCGGCATTCCCACTAATAGCTTAGATCCCACAACTTATAAAATTCCCATGCTGCTGCCATTCAAAATGCTAGCTTCATACTTTAGCTCTCGCTCTTTCTCGCTCAGCATAGCTATTACAACGGGATCAAAAGCATCAGCGATTTTGGCATGCATGCAACTGCACATATTCTCCAAACTGCTTGCTCTGCAGTCTAAATATATGAAACGGGATCAAAAGCAACAGCGCAAATGTCGCGTAAAATAAATTATCTTCCACCCTCCCCTCATCCACAATGTCCATTCTGTGAATGAACGCTTTGCTGCTGAAACACCCACACGCAGTTCTTGTTACCTGCATACATTTTATTTTTAATTTGCCCTTACTTTTCTCCTAGTATTATTCGGACTTGCGTGGCTCGCTTTTTATTTAAGTATTTTAAACGGATAGACCAAATGCAGAGTGGCCAAGGTATAGCAGTAATTATTACATATTCGGATGTAAGATGAATAGATAGATTACACACGGCACAAACTGATCGCGTTAAGCACGGAGTGACATATGTTAATTTAATTTTATAAAAAGAACATTCGAGCACGCGCGGATTAAACAAGCGATTTGTACAGCAGACGCGCACAAACTATATCATCTTATTAAGCTCGCAAGTTACGCATACAAGAACAACTTGAAGCCCACAACTAATGAAACTCCCTGTCTTCCATCATCCACAATCTCTCTCTCTCTCTCTCTTCTCATAGCTAATACAACGGGATCAAAAGCATCAGAACGTATCATCTACACTGTTTGCTCTGCAGTCTGAGCATAGGAAGCGTGATCAAAGGGAATATCGCAAATGGCGTGTAAATAAACTATCACCCTGCTCCCCCCTCCAAAATGTTCACTCCGCAAGTGCTGTGATCCGCGCTTTGCAGCCTAAGCACTCACACACACATTTTATTGCATACATACATATTTTTCTTTCTTTTGCGCCTTTTTGTTGTTTGATTGATATTTAATGTGTATATATGTATATATATTAATGCGAAATACCAATATAAAATTTAGCTCTGCAAGGGTATACAAAAAAAGAGGCGTTCAACTAATTCAAAAGCTTTGCCTACGAGTACTTTAAAAATGCGCTCGCAAATATCTACAGAACAGATATATAAAAAATAAATATTACAAAACTGTTACAAAGAGCATAAATATTTGAATTTTGTTGTTGTTGCATATTTTAATTTGCTTGATTCAGCAGATTGCATTGTTGTATGGGACTCAACAATAGGAGAATAAACATGTTATTAATAAATATTGAAATGCGCCAAAGGCATTTAAATTTAATAAAAATTTAATATAAAACGAAAAAAATAGCAAATTGAATTTGGTGTAAAACAAAAACGAATTTGTAACTGTTGTCTTTGGCAAAAAATGCCTTAATAATATTATAATTTAAATGGAAAACAATTGAGCGTGGGTAAATGTGTGTAGAAATGGGCATTAAGCCTTAATAATATTGATAAAATAAAATAATAATTTTATATAATAATAATATTAATAATTTAATAATCATAAAAAGTTGCAAAATATGTAAATAAATTGAACAACTAATTTAATGAGCTCCATTTGGGCTAAAGAGATCATAAATCAGCTCTTCTATTGCAAATATATGTTCACTATCTGCTTTCTCTTATACATCTCGAGTGTATATTTAAGATTTATAAGTGAAGTTAAGGTAGGAGAAGAATTAAAAATGATTGTGATTTGTATAAGAGATCATTAGGCATATTATGATTATTATAAGAATATTTGAATATGCGTAACTGTTAATAAAAATCAGCTCTTATATTTTCTTGTATTTTGCACCCTGTCCTCTTATACATCTAGGGGGCACACCTGTTCAGATGTTTGCAAAATTCTTATATTTTTTGCTCTCTCTCTCTCTCTCTCTTTCGCTCACTCTTGCTCTTATACATCTAAAGTGTATACTTAAAATCTTTACTCACCAGATTATCAAAGCGCAGCGCATCCTCGTCGCTCAATCCCATGCTGCGTGTGAGCTGCAAATATGTGGACGTAATTGGCTTCAAGCGCTCCAAGTCGAGCGGCGGCAGCGGCTGCGGCAGCTGCTCCAGCGGCGCCGAGGCGCCGCGCAGCAGCAGCTGCGGTATGCGCAGATCAGTGGGCAGCGTCTTGGGCGGACTGGGCAGCTCCAGCTTGAGCGGTGCGGCAGCCAGGGGCGTTGAGGTGGATGCGGGCTGGCCATTTCTGGAGCTGGAAAATGAAGATTTGGTTAGATTTATGGGCGTAACGGGTGCTGCTGCAGCGGACGGGGCGGACGGGTCAGACTGGGCGGGCGTGGCAATCGGTGAGCGTGCACAAGAAGTCGAGCCTAACGGGGAGGAGCTGCTGCCAGTCGCAGGGGATGCGGCCGCAACAGACGCTGTCTTGGCAATTGTGCCGCTGGTAGCCGTGCCGCTCATTGGATAGCTAAGGCTCTGCAGCAAGCTGCTGCCGTAGAGGGGCGGAGCTAGAACCGGTTGATTGAGCAGTGTAGCGCTGCCGCTGCCGGCATAGAAGCGTCTCATGAAATCGTAATAGCGGACCAGATTATCCCGCGACTTGAGCAGCTGCAAATCGAAGCCCGGCAGCTGTGTGGTTGGGGTAACTGATTGGGGCTG